AATAAATATACAAAAATTAATATTTAAAAAAAAAACTTATTTATTAATAAAATAATATCATTTAATTCATTTTATTAATGAGATGACATTATCTAAATAATTGGTGAAAAAATTTTTCTTTGATCATAGGACACAACACTTGACAAATGAACAAAACATTTCACTGACGAATAAGCATAACTCTTTACTTAATGAACAAATATGCAACATTTCACTTGATAAACAATCATAATTTTTTTAATTGGAAAATTAAATTGATTTTGTCTAATAAAAAAATATCTTAGTTATCCGATCCAAAATTGTTTGGCACCGATTATATATAAGTGTGGAAACTCTGTCCAAATGAAATTGGCACAGCAATTGGCCAAAGAGAAGAAAGAAGAGGGAAGTTGTTTGGTCATTGGGTTAATTTGCAGTAAAATCAAGTTTGTTAAATTGCCAAAGGTACAAACTCTTAGTTTAAAATTAACAAGAGTTTGACAATAGTCACATGGTCTATTGGCCAACAATTACGTGATCTATTGATATTGAATTATTTGTTTCAGTTCAAATCCTGACAAGTTTTTTTTGTTCAAAAAATCCCGACAAGTTCAATTATTGAAAAAAATAACAAGGGTTTTACCTTGAATCAAATTAAGGGTCGTTCAACACAGAGTAAAGAATGCAAAGGAGAGCCATCACACGGCCTAACAGCAGTCAGGGAATTTCAGCCAAATATCCTGGCTGAATAATCTGAATTTTCTCTTCACTTCAATTTTTAGAGTAGCTTTATCATTGTCTATCTCCTCGTGAAAAATGACCTTATCGTTGTGTTTAAGTCAGATCCTTTCGTTGAGCAAATTCAAGCCAACCCACCGACAGAACCCTGTCGTATGTGATCTCATCATTCTGTCGAACGATGCAACAAATTAAACACTCATAAACAGCAGCTCCCTTTTTGCTCATACATGGCTAGCTGTGCAATCTCAAATTAACACGTATGTTTGATCAGCAAACTCACAGCATGGCCAGAAATTTATATAGAGAGAGTTCAGAATCCTTCGTCCGCAATTTCCTAATAACCGAAATGAAAGAATCAGACTGCACCTGCCACCGTCCTCTCTATATCCCAGCAGATTCGGGAATCAGAGATATATGTTAGTGAACAATACATAAACTCTATACCAACCATAAGCAGGTTGATCAGCAAGAATCAATGTATCAAAACCTAATCCCAGATAAGGGTATATAAAGGAAAACCAATCACAATTGATTGGCTAATCATGAATGAAAGCCTGAAACTAAATAGTTTTAATTTGTAACAACACCAAATACATCATATTTTATGTATATTACATAGAGCGAGGTCAACAATAACCTGACAAATACACCATGTATATATCACAGATTAATTGAAACTTGGAGATCAACAAGAATCTGGCTATAGAGTACTGGACGGTGGACACAATAAGCAAACTAGTAAAATACTATAGAATGATGAAAGCTAGGACCATTATAATTGCACTAAAAACGAAGACCTTTTAATACCTATAGGTGGGGAATGGAAATTATACCATTCTTCACTTCAATTTTTGATCGTATTGTCGCCAAATCAAGCTCTAGAGATCAGCCCAATGTTCTTGACCGAGTAACTTTATGTTTCTCTGTACCCGGATCCCAAGCTGATCCCCGTTTTCATGCACATGGAAAATCACCTTGTCTCCCACTCTGAGATCCTTATGTTTCACAAAGTCAATCCATCCTCTAGTGAGGACAGGCTTTGGGTGACCGTCATTCTTCCTAGTGTGGAGGCGAAAGGTCCAGAACTTCCTATTCTTGTCCATGACTTGAAAATCCAGTGACTGAGTCCCTTCCTCGAGTCTGAAATAATGTTCCCTCATTGCAGCAGTTGGAAATGAGAGCCTAACCGTCACATCAGTTGAGGTTAATATCTTCGAGCAAAGCTCCGGTACTACTAGTTCACCCTGAGTCGACTGCATTTGACAGGCTTATAGTGAACCGAGTTCTCGGAGTTTGCCAATGACATGTTAAACTTATTAACAATTTATAGGTGATCAACAGCTGGTTTCCCATTTCAATGCAGTTCTAAGAAAATGTACAAACCTTTTTCAAGTTCAAGTGTAGTCACAATCACCAAATAGAACACTAAATTCCCAAGAAGCTTCAAAGTTAATTAATGGATAATACAAACCATGAACGTGCTTGATGGCTGGTTGGATCTAGATGGATTGATGGAGAGATCTTTTGCATTTCAATTTTCAATCCCGTTGATTCTAGTAATTAATACTTGATAGGTTGTTTATACCAGTGTCCCTTTATCAAAGTATTGTGAACCAAACAGGTTTTATTATTATGGGCCCAGAATAGATAAGATGAGATATGAAATGCCATCCGAGGTTTCTAACTAGAAGCCGGCCTGGAAAGAATGTTCTATAGCAACAATTAGAGGATCCCCAGTTCCTAGAATACGACATGAACATGATTTTTCAATGTACTTTCTATTTTTTTTTAGAATTCATACTCCCCTTTTTCTAGTCCGTGCGTCCTTTTCATCGGCCATATACCAACAGTACCAATCACTAACATTATAGATAACAGATTCTGTTTCTCATTTTAATCATCCCTCTCTCAATTTGATTTTTTTTTATCCATATTTCATAGTCACAGACGAAAACAGACAATGACTAAAGAGAGAGTCAAACAGTGAATTAAATTGAGGATGAAGGACAGATATTAGTTTTGGTGGCCCTAATTAATGTTTTAGAATTGGGTTTTAACCCTTACCACTAAATAAAAAATTAAAAAAAAAAAAAAGAATGGGGTAAAAAATGTTTTTTGGAGTCATGACCTGTTCACATGTTTCTCTAATTAAAACAAAATTTTATAGATGTCAATATATTTTTAGTTATGATTGTCATTAACATATACTAATTATTTTAATTAAAAAATTATCTTTTCGACTTGAAAATGCCCTTCACAAAATGTAGTATACAATTCATTTATACGGACCCTTAAGTACTTTTTTTTTTAATTAGAAAAAAAAAAGGTTTTCTCACTATTAGATCAAAACATTAATAAGTTTCAATAACAATTTATATTAAGCTTACAAATTATCCAAACAACATGATTACCATTTAAACTTGATAATTTAAAACATAATATGATAATATAATACGAATACGATTAAAAATAAAATATAAAAATGACACAATTTAAAATTTTAACATTAATTATATGAGTTTAATATAACTAAAAAATATATTTTATATTTTTATATCGATACGAATTATGTAATGTAATTTTTATATAAAATATTATACATATATATAAATTTTAATATTTTATATTATAGGAGTACATAAATCATCATATCTACTACTAACAAAACTCATACTTAAATTTAATTAGGCAAGTATTCAATATTTATTTATACTTAACCAAAGGTATTTTGATAAATAATGTTTTAAATGATAGCAAAGGACAAAGGCATATCTAATTCTATAAAACAAGCGTTATTGGATTATGCATTGGAATGTCAGACAACGTACGGATTGCGGACCGGAATCTTGTTAACATTGTAACATTGACAAAGAAACTATCCGACAAGCCAATCAATCAAAGAAACGGTATTAAAAGTTGACAATGAAATAATGAATCGAAATCAGAGCCGCCAACTGTTTGGTTGTGGGCGAAAAGTTGGGAAACATTTTTTTTTATATAGAAAAAATATAAAAATATTTATCACTATTGCTATATAATGAACAAAACAATAGTAAACTACATGGAAATTTCCTATAGAAAACAATACTATTGTTTATAGATAAAGTTAACTTAGATTGTGATACTTCCAATAAAACAGAAACAGCAGCCCAAAAAAATTTTCAAATCACAGAAGTATTTAGAAAAAAAAAATTAATGTTACTAATAAGTTATAGTAAAATTCCAAATCTTATAATTGAACTTTAAAAATGATATTTAACCTTTGTAAATTTTTAATGCTATTAATTTTAAATTATATCATGTGATGAATAGATAATTTTTAAATATCATAATAATTAATAAATTTATAATTTAAATATTATATTAAAAAATTTTAAATTCAAATTTTACATTATATATTTTATTATAATTTAAATACCGTTCATAATATAAATACCTATAATAATAATAATTATAGTAAAACAAGAGGTGGGGGTTTGGTTTGTCCAACTTACAAGTCAAGAATCGTAACCTTTTAATATCAGTAGTGGGCCTCAAGATACCCGCAGTCAAACCTACGAGCAACCCTTTAATTCGGTCGTTGTCGAGCGATGCTTGAAATATTCTAGTACGACTGATCAAAAACAAGTTTTTGATTCACTTTCTTTTATGTCTTTTTGTGTTTTTTCTCTTTCACTATTTAAAGAAAGTGGTATCTTTTATTACGGTACTCCATCTGGCTGTTGGCTTGAACGGTATCTGCCATCCGCAAGAATCATGAGCAAGCAATTCGCTTTTTCAAATGACACGTGGTTTTAGAACACTGACGGATTCGGCTTTTGTGGGATATCATTTTCATAAATAAAATTAATAAATTTATTGATAATTATATATTATTATATAAATGAATATTTTTAAAAAATTCTGAATCTGTCACTGTCAGTGTCACCGTCAACAATGATATTCTACAAAACAACTCTTGGTAAAAACCTAACTAAAACAAGTTCTGCACTGAGAATTTTACTAAACCAAAAGGTTTGGTTTTTTATTTGTTTTCACCTATTTTGGCTTGATTTTTCTAATTTTTCCCGTTAACCAAAGACAGTAGAAGGATTAAGGTATTTTAATGGTTAAATACCAGTCCATTTATTAAAGACCCATTGAAAATGCTACTCTCACAAAAAAAAAATGGAAGAATTCAACAATTTTCATGTAGAAATCAGAATGGAAACTGTAAATGGGTTTCTCCAGAATATTGATATTAAGAATGACTATGAAGTTATTATGCAGACTTAGATAAACTAAACCCCTGAACCGTAATGGTTCTCAGCAATGTAAGATTCAGAAATTCTCTTCTCTTCTCACAAAATAAACAAGAGTACAAATCAAAAGGATCAGTTTGAGCCTAAGTTACTTTTTCTATTTACAAAACTTAAAGTACCACTATCACTCCTCTCCACTCGAATTTTGTAGTGTGCCCCTTCCTCCTTGTAAAGAATGACAATATCACCATTACGGAGACCCTTACTTCGGATAAATTGGATCCAACCGGAAACAAGAACCAGTTTTGGGCGAACCCCAGGTTGTATTTCGTAACCAAAGTTCCACAAGTTTCCAGTATCATCCTGAACCTGCAACACCATTACATGGCACCCTTGGGACCGAGGTAAAGCAGGTTCGCAGATATCTGGAGATGATAATCTTCTCTCAACGTCAGCGGTTGTGAGAACTTTTGTAAAAATTTCCATAACTGAATTTGATTTCTTTGAGCTGCTCGGCTGGTCAATTTTTACTTACAGAGTTGCGAGAGAAGATGAACTTTAGAGCACAAATATATAGAGGTAGAAAAGTCTGGGAGTTCGAAGGCCCAAGGCTTAAAACTGACAGATATGAGTTGTGTGAGGTCTAACCTGACAGATGTGATTGCGTGAGATTGAGACTTTGGATGTGTCTTTTTCTTTATTTTTCAGAGAAAGGCCTACTGGTGGGGCCTATGAAAAGAAAAAAAGAACTAAAGATCCACAGAGTACAAAATTTTTCTTGCCATTAGAGGTTTAAATTATTACAAGTTCTTTTCATTGATCAGAATGTATTTTGTCTTTTGCCATTTTAACGTTTCTTTTGTAAGAAAAGCACACTTCAAACAACTTTGTCGCGACGCAAATTCTTCTCAAACGAATATGCTCGCATCAATAGCAATCTATTGTTTGCACGACAGATTCACTTGATGTCTCGCGCGTGATACCTTTCTTCTTTCTTTCTTGCATGTTGCAAACTACCCAAACTCCACCTGGCTCTTGTTTGTGGGCTAAATTTTATGGGCATTGAAATCAATTCGGAACTATGAAGCAGACTCCTGGTTTTGATTATAGCAATGTATATATCATTTAGTCACTGCTTTTACTATTGGAAAGGTTGTTGTTTCTGCCTGTAAAACAAGGTAAACATCATTTATCCAAAAAAAAAAAAAAATTACTATCAAATATGGAATCCTATAAACACCACTATAGTAAGGAATTTACTAATCCGGTCCTGTAATCCCTATATTTCTTTGTCACGACAATTTGGTGATTGGTTATGGCTTAAAATTAGTGATTCAGTGATTCATTCTTAACTAGATAGTTACACCTATTTTGCCTATTTTACAATTATTATAGAATTTTTCAATAAAGAGAGATTACAAGCACAATAATAAATTTTTAAACTAACGACTTTTAAATTAAGTATAATTAAGATCATTAAGGATTTATTTGGATGGATAATGAAATTAAAAATAATAATAATAATTATTGTAAATGCGATTAAAAAAAATTACTGTAATTATGATTGAAAAAATTATAAAAAAATTTATACTGAACGAATCTCATTATAATTAGCATTTAGATTTAATTGATGGTGCAATGAGTTCAACTACATTGCATTGGAAGTGCAATAGAATTCAAATCCTCACTAAATTTATATAAAAAAAAACTTAAAATAGCATTAATATTATAACTTAATGTGCAAAAATTCTCATATTTACTCTGTGTAAAGATAATTAATGTCAAAATAGTAATTAAATTTCATGCAACTTAATATTACCATACGAAAACCATAATTCTTTTAATATGATACAATTTTGATAGAGGTGTTTTGAAATGCTAAAACTAACTTAAGGTGTTAGTTGTAGAAAGAATTGTTAAGTTCCTGACTTAGTATTTGGGACTAGTAGTTTGTGACTGAATGTTACAGCTTACAATCTTATTAGTAATCCTCGTGTATTTTTTTTTTTTTAATTTGGGAAATGGGATTCGGACTTTATTTTTAAATTAAAAAAATCATATACATCAATTATTAAAATAAATAATTGGGTAGGAAAAAAAAAAGCCCAAAAAAGAAAGAAATGGAAGAATGGGCCACTAACATAACATCTAAGGTGACCCAAAAATATGAATAATCGATGACCGATCGTTTTTTTCTACATTCTTCTTATTGGGTTCTTATGCGCAAAGATAAATAAATAAAACGCTTTTCGAGATAGTGAAATCAGAAAGCCACCTACTTGAGCTGAGATTCTTTTGGAGTTTGCACTTACCAAAAAAAAAGGCCGCCGTCGCAGCTACCACTTCATCTTCTTCAGTGACGGAGGAGGAGCTGACACTGACAGTAAAATGGAGTGGAAAAGAGTAAACGGTTCGAGCTGAGGCGATGACTCAGTGACCGAGTTGAAACGAAGAATCCGGAAACTCACCAACGTTCTACCCAGAAGACAGAATCTTCTTTACTCTAAAAACAGCAATAAATACTAGTCCAATTATTAAAAACCCATTGAAAATGCCAGTCTCACAAAAATAAGAAAGAATTCAACAATTTTCATTCAGAAAATTATCAGAATAGAAACCGGCACTGGGTTTCTCCAGAATATTGATATTAAGAATGATTATGAAGTTATTATGCAAATTTAGATACCCTAAACACCTGAACCGTAATGGCTCTCAGCAATTAATGAAAGTACTAGCTAAAATCATTTAGGAACTTCCACAACTGCCTTTGAATATATATATATATATATATATATATATATATATACAAAAGGGTGGATTTATCATATGAAAGGTAATAAATAATTCTTATACAAATTTGATCCTTATATTACCTTCTATATTATAAAAATAAAAAATATTGCGTAAAAGGTTTGTACATATCGTATTATCTTACAAAAGAATCTTTGAAAAACTATAAATCTTTACACGTGTAGATCAACAACGTTATAAATTCTCCACGTTTTGTGATCTTCATTTTCAGTAGATTTATTGGAAGACTTTTTCTCTTGGAATTACCTGCATCAATGACGAAAGAAAATATTTCCTAGCCTATTGCTAGTAAAGTGAGTAAAAGATAAGGAACCAAATATGACTAAAGCAACCTCTTAAACCTTACCTGAGAATTTTCCTTAACTGAACTGAACTAACAAATCCCAAATCATCTATTTTTTATTTATTGAATTTCCTTGAATTCCAAGATTGCAAGTATAACTAATTTCTCTACGTTCAAAGACCTGAGAGCCTGTAATCAGGGCAGACGACAAAGAATCATAAGGACAAACATGAATCTTATTATCCCAAGTAAATATTGTAATTTTTAGCATTTAGGCAAACTAGCTTCTAATATGCTTGTAAAAAATAGGAAGAAGGGCTAAACTTTGAACTGGATATGCACAGTACTAATTATTAACAACCTTCATATCTCAATATGCTGTAAGCACAATGTATCATTCTGTATAAATTCTATTGGAATCACCCAAAACTTGGACATGATTTACATATGAGTCAAGAGTGTAATGACTGGAAAATAAAACTTTACCTGGTCTGGTAGAAATACTGAAAGACAAACCATGATGAATTGTTGATTCCCAAAAAGAGGCTTGCATAACAGAGTTCAGCCCGAATTAGTTCCATTATCCATATTATTTGATTAGTTTGGCCCAACTACACCCATTGAAATTCCTTAGACGAGAAAATAGATGTGAATAGCTATTGAATTGACATAATTATTGGGAAATCTAGGTGCAACAATCATACTAGAAAATGCCAAAGTTTCATTATTAGAGGGACTACATGGATGCTCATAAGGCCAGCTTTCATCTAAGTTTGAAAACACTAAGGAATGAAGTTACAAAATAGAGATAGGGAAAGAGCATAAATGCAAGCATGCCCATGAATTACAGGGAAAAGCCAATTCAAATAAACTAAAATTAATAGAAACCAAATGAAATAAGTTCAATGAACTAGGTATGAAAGAGCTCGCTAAAATAAAATGCATCTCTAATTTTTCTGCCTACACCTTTTTCTATCATCTATATTCTTGAAAGTTCACATGGCATGTTGCTAACCCATGCTCAATAGAGTCCTAAAGATTCACATAGAGGTAACTTAAATGAGAAGCATGATATTAAATAAATCAAGCAGGATAAAAACATAGAGAAACTCTGAAGCTACCATGAGCTGTAGAAATGAAAAATGACCTTCTGGCCGACCATTCCAATTTGGCAAATGCACAACGCAAAGTAAAGTTGGCAGTGTCAGTGTATCTCCTTTTCCTGCAAAATAAGCAGATGAAATTATACAAAATCAATTGAGGTCAAAAACTTATTGCTCAATCAAGAGATGCCTAAGCAAACTAGTTTTGCAAAGAAATAAGGAATGAAACCAAAGAGGCGGTCATCTGACCGAAGTTTTTTCCTTAGTAGATATCAATTAAAAAGGTGAAAAGACAAAATGGGAACTAAGCTACAGATTTATTTGTTAGCTCTGTTTCATATATATAGACATGTCAAGCCTAAGTTGGTTGATGTCAAACCTAAAGTATATATATTATATATAATGAATGCCATATATAATATATATATATATATATATATTACATAATGGAAGAAAAAAGAGTGCAAATTATAATATAATATAAACCTAAAGCAAAATCACGGTTTAGCAGAGCTTGAAGGTGATCCAAAAATCTTCACGCTTCACCACACCATCTTCCAACAGCTTCTTCAGAACAGAACCAATCTGCATAAACCAAGTTATTGAACATGAGTAAATCATCAAAATTAGGGCATCAAATTAGGTATGTGCAACTGCAATACAAATTTAAGATGAAATAGGAGCTGAACTTCAGTCACTGAAAGTGAAAAAACAAATAAATTATAAATTTAATTTGTTTCATGCAATTACCCCTTTCTTGTTCTCATAGACTTGAGCATAATCAGTATGCCGGTATCCATGCTGCATGAAAACAGAGCAATTGTTACACAAACGATGGCGACAGTAACAAATGGCGGTGAGATGACAATCGTGGGAGGGAAAAGTGAGAATTAGGGTTTGATTTTCACCAATTAGTGGAAAATGAAAAGATAAAATCTGATTTAGGAAAGAGATTTTGATTTTGAAAGAGTAAAAATATGAATTTCACAATACTGGAAAACGAAAAGAAAGCAAAAGAGAAGAGAGAGGTAGAAAATTTTATATGAGAAAGACAGGAGAGAAAGGATTTTTCTAATCATTGGAGGCTAAAAGTGCCTTAAAACATTGGTCATTAGCGGCGGTTTCATTTTGGTCATGAGAAAACCAAATAAAATAGCATAGTTGTGGCGGTACTTCAAACCCTCAAGAAAAAAAAAATTGTTCTTAAAAATATATTATTGTGTAGTGATTACGAGCACAAAATTGTGTTTCAAACCCTTTGGTTTTTTAGCCGACGAAAAGTTATGGGA